AATCAGGTTATATCAGAATTACATGTCATTGGCTTACAGAAAATATGGAATTATATGATATATTAATTTGTGTTGCATCAATTAATTATCCTCATAATGGCAATAATATCCACCAAACTATTTTAACTCAACTTCAACTGCTTGGATTAGATAGTAAAGTAAATGTAGCAATTACTGACAATGGTAGTAACATGATTAAAGCTATTCATAAATGGGATGGTGTTAATCATATTCTATGCAGTGCACATACATTGCAGCTTTATGTTATTAAAGGGTTAGAAAAAATTAAACTATATACTAAACGATTTAAGGAATTAATTGATTTTTTAATTCTCCAAAACAAAATGAACGGTTAGAAGAGGCTCAGAAAGAAATTGTATCTAGATATGATACACAACTAAAAAATGATTCAATTTTATTTGATTTAACATCAATTGATTAACATCCATTAAAAATTTTGCGAACTATTAATGATGTCAAGACCCAATGAGAATCATCTTTAGCTTCTTGGAAAAGATTCAAGTATTAAAAGATCCTATTAAACGGGTTCTTTTAAATTTATGTTTAGAGAATAAATTTAAAAAAGATTATAAAAAATTAAGAATGCGAATTCTTTTAGATTATGAATGGATTTTATTAAAAAAATTAATTGTTCTTTTTAAACCAATTGAAGAAGCAACAGAATAGTTAGGTGGTCAAAAATATTGTACACTTTCTTTAATATATCTATCTATTTATACATTATATTATGATTATATACCAGATATAGATGATAATATTATTAACGAAAGTGGTAAATATAATATTTAAATAATTAAAAATAATTAAATTATATTTATTAATAATTAAATTCTTTTTTTTTGGATAATGATAATATTATTATAGATGAGGATTCTGAAGATAATGAAAGTGTATTTGATGATAAAGAAAGTAATGATGATAATGATGAGGAACAAATTTTTTCAAATAATACATAAATGTCTTTATCAGAAATTAATAATATTATTAATTCTGTTAAAAAAGCAATATATGACACGTTATTTGAATATTTTAATTCACCACCTGAAATTGCTATACTTGCTAGTTTTTTAGATTCAAGATTTAAAAAAATATATGGATGGCCTGAAGAAGTATGTGAAATGGCAATATCTTCATTAAAAAGAGAATATCATTATTAAAAAATGAAGAAACTGTTATGCCTCAAATAAATTTAAGAAATAATTATCTAATAGGCAGATTTAAATTGTGTTTATTTAGATTATATGAAATAGATGAAAATGATGATGAAATCAATTGCTATTTGGATAATTTTAGAACTCCACAAGCTATACCCGAAATGGATCCATTTCAATAGTGGATTGATAATAAAAAGAAATTTCCAACTTTATTTAAAATAGCTAGAAAATATTTGAGTATACCAGTCACATCTGTTCCAAGTGAGTGGCTTTTTAGTGATGCTGAAAATCAAATTACCAAAGATCAAACCAGTTTAAAACCAGAGACTGTTAATGAATTATTGTTTGTAAAATGAAATAGTAAATATTATAATCCTTTTGTATAATT